CCAAGAATTTATTGGGTGTAAGCGTTTTGGAAGGTTTGGCCTGAATAATCTTAATTTTAATTTTTAAATTTTTTTTTGGTTTGGGATATAGTATTTGATATTTTCCTTTCTTTTTGGTTTTTTTGGATGGCATATATGTTGTTTTTATTACAATTCGATTCTTTTAGTATTTCTTAATCTTTATTGTTGAATGTCTCTATATTCCATAGGTGAAATTATGTTTTTACTTTTATAATACGCATTCAGTATTCTTGCTTGTATCATCATCGATAAATCAACTCTTTCTCGAGCCAGATTTTTGTTTAATGAGCATTATTCTTTGTTTACGAAGGGTAGAGTACTAATCTGAGGACTGGTAACATTTGAATAACAGATCTTTGGTATGTTTATCATCATTTTCTTTAAAGAGTTTTACATTAATTAAATTAAACAATTAAAGATAAAAAAACGTTTATTGACGTTTCAATTTCCACTTCGGAAATCGTTCTCAAAATACAAACAGTAAATTAAACAAATTTTGTTTTTTGTTACATAGTAAAAAATTCTTCTAATAATTTAATTTTATCTGACTCATTTATATTGACAATTCAGACATACATTATGCATTTTAAAGTAGACGACTTTAAAATGGTATTGCCAATATTGTTGAGTTACGCTCCTGGGACGACTTTACTTATAAGATAGTTCATTCGATTACATGAAATCAACTTTAATTTGAGAATATTCGTCAGAAAAAATCATAGCATATAATTCGTCTTTAAAAAGACAAACACATGACATGATGACAGTAAAATTCTTCTGTTAGTGATTACATAGTAAATTATGAGGGAAAAACCAGGAAAAAAACCTCATAATACTATCCCGACATTTGTTCGTGCATGTAGTTTACATTCAATAAACACCAAAATTCTGATTTTATATGTTTCGTTATTTAAAAAACATAAATGATGTATCCTCTATATGTTACTGACTTACTAATACTGGTATTTTCTTATTAATAACTTCCTCTTCCAATATTGGTAACCAGATCCTACCACATTCTGCCGAGGAATTTGCGACACAATTGGCCTCATTTAGCATAATTAAAGCCACTTCCTTGATTTTTCTTTTTTTACCATCCGTCTCTTTTGAGACTACATTTGAATTATTTCATTGAACCCTATGTTCATTATCCCATGCGTGTTTACATATTTGAGATCTATCAAATTCTCTATTCTTAATATAAGACTAATGTTCACTTATTCTAACATTTAATGGCCTTGATGTTTCACCTAAATAAAACTGATCGCATTCACAAGGTATTTTATAAATGCAATTCTTTGTCCTTTCTTGTTCATTGTTAGGTTTGGTTTTTGGACAAAATAGATCTCAACGTGTTGATTCCTCGGCAGAATGTAGTAGGATCTGGTTACCAATATTGAAAGAGGAAGTTATTAATAAGAAAATACCAGTATTAGAAGTCAGTAACATATAGAGGATACATCATTTATGTTTTTTAAATAACGGCCTTGGAGTTAGAAATGAAAGAGGCGACCTGCTGTGTGAATTCTGCCAGGAGAACGGTTTTGTCGTCATGAACACATGGTTTCAGCTCCCACCTCGTAAGTTATATACTTGGAGATCACCAGGAGACCGTCCAAATCGAATAATTAGAAACCAAATTGACTACGTTTTAATAAACAGAAGATTTCGTAACGCTATCAAAAGAATCGCAGCATATCCAGGTGCTGATATTGCATCCGATCATAATCCGCTAATAGCAGATGTGAGGTTAAAACTAGCAAAAATTAAGAGAACAAATACAAATACCAGCACACCTATAAATACAAGAGAACTGATGAGAGACGAAAATCTGAAGAAGAGTTATGCGAATCAAATTAATGAAAGAATGCGAGTAATAGGACAAAATTATGATATCGAAGAGATGGTCAATGATATTAAAGGAACGATTCTGGCAGTAAACAGGGAAGTTAAAACACATATCAGAAAGATAAAGCATAACGAATGGATGACGGACGAAATTATGGATCTAATGGAAAAGCGAAGGCAACATAAACAACAACGTAATCAAGACAAATACAAACAGATACACAAAGAAATCCGTCAGAAAATTAAGAAAGCAAAAGAACGTTGGATGGTGGAAAGGTGCAACGAAATAGAACAATTGCAGGAAAAAGGAGATAGTTTTGGACTACATAAGAAGATCAAAGAAATATCGAATATACACAAAAGCCACCACAGAACAAGAATACGCAACGACAGAAACGAATACATAGAGTCAGAAGAAGAAATAGCAATGGCGTGGAAAGAATACGCAGAAAGCCTTTTTAATGACGAAAGACCAACACAACCAACGCGCAAACTTCCTTCCGAAAACTTATCAGGGCCATCAATAATGCGAAGTGAAATAGAATATGCAGTTAGAACCACAAAGATGCATAAAACAACAGGTCCAGATGAAATTAATATAGAAGCAATAAAACTACTAGACGAGGAGAATATCGAAATCTTGGTAAGGCTGTTCAATAGAATTTATGATACTGGTTACATTCCGCGAGAATGGCTGCAGTCATCCTTTGTGATGATCCCAAAAACAGCTAATGCCACAAAATGCAATGAACACCGCTTAATCAGTTTAATGAGTCACTTGTTGAAACTCTTTCTTAGGATATTACACTCAAGAATGTATAAGATACTAGAAGAACTTAGCGGGTCAACACAATTCGGTTTTAAGGGAGGACTAGGAACAAGAGAGGCAATTTTATGTTTGAACACCTTAATACAAAACTGCTTAGATCAACGAAAAGATGTCTACCTCACCTTCATCGACTACGAGAAGGCATTTGACAATGTTAAACATGATATCATGATGGAACTACTACATAGGGCCAACATTGACCAGAAGGAGATCAGAATTATTTAGAATCTATACTGGAACCAAATGGCAAAGGTGAGGATTGATCAAGACCAATATACGGATGAATTTGAAATCCGGAAAGGTGTCCGCCAAGGCTGCATACTCTCTCCGATGCTTTTTAATTTATATGTTGAAAATATATTTGCGGAAGCATTAGAAGATACGGAATTAGGCATTAAGGTGAACGGCATACCAATTAGCAACCTACGCTATGCGGACGACACAGTGATTATAACTGATAATTTGGAAGATCAGCAGTTATTACTTGATAGGGTGAATAGCATAGGTAAAAAATATGGCCTCAAAATCAACATTTTGAAAACGAAATATATGGTCATTAGCAGAAACCCTCCAGAAAACCCGATATTATGCATAGGTGACAATCGTATAAATCGCGTGAAAACTTTTAAATACCTTGGCACCACAATCAATGACCAATCGGATTCACAACACGAGATAAAAACCCGAATACAAATGGCAAGACAAGCTTTTGTGAAATTCAGACCGCTCCTATGTAATCAACACCTAAACTTCGAAATACGCTACAGAATGGTCAAGTGCTACATATGGTCCATCTTGCTTTATGGCATGGAAACGTGGACTTTGAAAAAAACATCTATCAACAAACTCGAAGCATTTGAAATGTGGTCATTGAGAAGAATGATGCGCATACCTTGGGTGGATAGAGTTCGAAACGATGACGTCCTTAATAGAGCCGGCGTGGAAAGAGAACTCTTTGAATTAATTAAAAAACGCAAGATTGGTTACCTTGGGCACATATTGAGAGGAGCAAAATATGAAATACCACAGTTAATCCTACAAGGGAAGATCGAAGGTAGGAGAGGAGCCGGCCGCAAACAATTGTCCTGGTTAAGGAATATTAAAGAATGGACAGGAATACACAATACAGGTGAGCTGTGTCACGCCGCCAAGAACAGAATTCTAGTAATGAGATAGTCGCCTACGCACTTTGGTGTATGGCATGTTAAGAAGAAGAAATAACGAAACATATAAAATCAGAATTTTGATGTTTGTCAAAGGTAAACTAAATTCACGAACAAATACTTACAATGTCGGGATAGTATTATGAGGTTTTTTTCCTGATTTTTCCCTCATAATTTACTATGGAATCACTAACAGGACAATTTTACTGTCATCAGGTCATGTGCTTGTCTTTTTAAAGACGAATTACATGCTATGATTTTTTTCTGACGGATATTCTCAAGTTAAAGTTGATTTCATGTAATCGAATGAACTATCTTATAAGTAAAGTCGTCCCTGGAGCGCAACTCAACAATATTGGCAATATCATTTTAAAGTCGTCTACTTTAAAATGCATAATGTATGTCTGAATTGTCAATATAAATGAGTCAGATAAAATTAAATTATTAGAAGAATTTTTCACTATGTAACAAAAAACAAAATTTGTTTAATTTACTGTTTGTATTTTGAGAACCATTTCCGAAGTGGAAATTGAAACGTCAATTAAACGTATTTTTATTTTTAATTGTGGCTTATTCCCAGTTAAATAGGAATTAATTTACAATGCCACAAGAAAATAGCTTCAGAACAACATATGTCACTTATAATCTAAGAGTTTAGCTTGGTTTGGTCTTTAGTTTTTAGTTTATATTTTTTTTTTTGGAAATTATGACTATACTATAAACCTAAAAAAATTATATGTGTTTGCATAAAGGTTTGAGAAAATTTTATATGCAACATATGTATTTGATCGAAAGTTCTATTTTCACTAATATTGTTCTGAAGCTATTTTCTTGTGGCATTTTAAATTAATTACTATTAAACTGGGAATAAGCCACAATTAAAGATAAAATAAACGTATTTTTATTTTTAATTGTGGCTTATTCCCAGTTTAATAGTAATTAATTCTATTTTCACTTGTGGAATAGAAATTTCGATCAGAATAGAACGAAAAAACATTAATGAATTGAATGGATAGCATAATGTTTAGAATGAAAATATAATATTTTAAAGAGGATTGATTAGCTAAATCTACCCAACAGTTAAAAAATATTTTACCTGTTTTTGGAAAGCTGCATATCCATACGTCCCTCTCACTCACATTCCAATTAAAAATATCACTTTGTAATTCCTCAAATCTCCTCGGCATAGTTACCCCTTTCACATTTACATATCCCGATCTGAATACACTGGTAAAATCTCTGTCCAACCATTTGTCGAATTCCTCGTTACTGCAGTCACGCTTTACGGTTGGCATTTCTTCAATGTTGAGGAACACTAAAAGGAAGTCTGAGAGTTACTATTACGAAACTTATAATCTCTTCGCTTATATAATCCCCATCTTAAATTTTTGCTACAAAATTGAAGGTTTTGCAGAAATACAAACTCACTTCATTGATTACATCATAGTAGGTGTACGTAGTACATAAGGAAATACATTTTTTTGGAAAGCAATTGTTTATGAACTTTACCTTGGTGACAAATGTAGCGTGAAGAAAACAATCATGTCTGCATTGGTGCATATCATTTTTTTAAATGTTGATATATCAAGAAATGTCTTTTTTAATGTCTCTTTGTGTCATTAATACTTCAATTTAAACGCTAGCCCGAAATTGAAAAAAATTCTACCGGGTCCTGCGTGCCATGTCTTTTTTTTTCTAAAACTGGCGTTGAAAGTTAAAAACACTTAAATCTAAATAAAATTATTGTATTTCATTTGAATCAATTATAAAATAATGGGACAGTAAATAAAGAAACAAGAAATTCTTATACAGATTTTTGAAGAATCTTAAATGTATATATTTTCCAATATTAATAACAATTTTTCTTTTGGAAAAAACCATTTGGAAAAAGGCTGGCATTTTAGCTTATAAACATTTATAATAACTTTGATAAGAAAAACATCATAATATACAAAAAATACTGTACCCTTATACTTGTCTATTTTGTATTTAAGATCTGATTTTTGTTGGCACCAAATATTTAGCAGAATTAAACACTTATTTATTTTAAAACATAAACATAACAATGAAATACCGAAATGTATCAAAACAAAGCATATTTAAAATTAACACCTCTAAATAATAAAACATACACCGAAAATCGTTTAAAATTGTACTGAAAGTGTAAATCGTTAAAAATGAAATATTCACAAATATTGGAAATATAACGCGGGAAACCCATTCAGCGGGAAGTCTATTTATTGATATAATAGATACATAGAAGCATTAACCAATGTAAAATACCCAAAAAGCTTATCTGCATTGTATCTGTGGTAATTCTAACATCCAGAGGAACAGATATTTATATATATATATATATATATATATATATATATATATATATATATATATATATATATATATATAAAACTGTTTTGGATGAGTTGGAGTCAATAAAAGGGGCAGTTTGTTGACTATTTTTTACTCGAGCTTTCAATTGTGCGTGCAAAACTGTTGTAACTCTGTCACATTAGAGTTACAACAGTTTTGCACGGAACTTATGTACAAAAACGTAAAATAGTTAAACTATTGTTGTTTTAATATTTAGCCGGTTAAGCATATGAAAGTTACTAAAGTTTTACAGGGGATAGATATGCATGTTTACCATCAAATTCCATGATTACTTCATTTTCATAAAATTTTGAGTTACTGCAGTCTTGCACTGGGGGTGCGATATCATTAGTATATTATGTTACATCTATGCATAACTCTTTCAAATTTCTAGTCGTACTAAATAAAAATGTTCCTAATTCCAATTTATCTTTATCCCTTTATTATGACTGGACTATTAGTGAGAGTAACTATCAATACCAGATATCAGAAGCTTCAACTTAAGTACTTAAGTGATTTGGAGGACTACTAATTCAACATACAAACTGCTGATATAGTTTACACTAGTTAATACACTAATAAACTGCTACTAGTAGTATAGACAAGCATATAGCGATTGCTTCAGAATTGTTTACAAACGGCAGATATATGGCACATACTAGACGTAATTTAATGCCGTTTTGGTGAAAGCGGCATTAAATTGTTTAAAATAAATTGGCGCAGTTAAAGGATAAAGTACGTTTATTAAAACAAATATTATGTTGTAGAGACCTAAATCTTAGAAAACGAGTACTAAAGTGTTTGTTTGTATTTTCTGTTCTTTTGTATGGTGTGGAGACATGGAGTTTAAATAAACAATGTCTCAGTATATTAAAAGCATTTGAAATGTGGACATGGGAAAATATTTCCTGGAAAAGTAAATGCGCAGAACTCAACAAATATATGGGGTCAACAAGATCAAGAGAAGCATGGAAAACGGTAAAAAATCTGAGAACAAACAGAAAAGAAACGAGTAGAATAGATTCAATAGAAGAAAAATCTTAAATCGAACACTACTCACAACTTTTGACTGGAACAAGACCTCAATTCACGAACATCAATACAACAACATATGAACTGGAATTCAGTGAAGACGATGAAATAACAGTGCAGGAAGTCGAGAATGCAATACGAACTCTAAAAAATCGGAAGTCATGTGGACCACAAGGTATACCAAATGAATTATTAAAACATAGCCCACAAGTATTACGGGAATTACTGGCGTATGTCTTCACCTTATTCTATAATGAACACGACTGACCACCGGAGTGGACAAAAGCACATATTAACAACATCTACAAAAAAGGAGATAGAAATAATTGTTCAAACTATAAGGAGCTAAGTGTCATAAATTCACTCTCAAGACTGTATGAAAAATAATAAAAAATAAAATTGAAAAAGAGATGACAGATGTAGAAGAACAGAATGGCTTTCGTGCAGGCAGATCCTGTATGGACAGTATATTCTCTCTAAAGCAAGTTATCGAGAAAAGATTAGCCCACAACCTTTCAACTCATATAGTCTTTATAGACCTGACAAAGGCATACGATAGTGTACCACTTTCAATGATTTGGGTAGCAATGGAAAAACAAGGAATAAGAAAAAAATATACAAGCAGTACAACAGCTCTACAAAAATATGACGGCAAACATTAAAACTGGAAATAGATTAACTAGAGAAATTCCTATTAGTAAGGGGGTAAAGCAAGGCTGCTGCATAGCACCTACACTCTTCAAAATATATCTAAATGAGGCACTCTCACTGTGGAGAAGAAAGTGCTGCAATATGGGCATCCCAATCGGAGATGATAGATTGTACACGATACATGTCGAAGACGAGAGTGATATATAAGCTACATGTTTAGAAAACTGGAAGATGAGTACACCAAATGGAGCCTCACAATTAATATACAAAAAACTGAGTACTTAGTTGTAGGAGAAAAACCAGAAAGCCTACAAATCGAAATGGGAACTATAAAACCAACAGACAATTTTAAATACTTGGGATTCCAAATAACATCAAAAGCAGGAAGTAGCGAAGAAATACATTCCAGGATTGGCCAAGCAAGATCAGCCACCAGACAGATACACGGACTATTATGGAATAAAAAAATAAGAAATGAAAATTAAAGAAGAATTTATAAAACAATAATAGAAAGTATTGGACTGTAAGGAGCCGAACTCTGGGAAATAAACCAAAGAAACAAATTAAAAATTAAGGCCATGGAAATTAACTACTGGAGACGATGTTGCCAGCTCACTAGACTTGATAGGGTGAGAAACGAAGATATTCGGATAGAAATGAAAATCGATCTAGACATAATAGACACAATCGAAGACTTAACTGATATGGACATCTTCAGAGAATGCCGGAAAATAGATGGCCAAAAAAAAAAATAGAAGAATGGACTCCGCCAACTAGAAGAAAATGAGGTAGACCAAGACGATCCTGGAAAGACGATGTCGACGATGCAATGACCGCCAGAGATCTAACAACTGAAGATTGCTTCGACAGAAAACGCTGGAAATTAGGATGCGAGAAGCGGCGCCAGCTATACACAGACAGAATAACTAATGAAGAAGTACTTATAAGAATAGAGAACAGCAGGGAGATACTGGATTTCATCAAAATAAAAAAGCTGCAATATCTGGGTCATATAACACGTAGTGACAGATACGAATTGGTAAATCTAACAATGCAGGAAAAGATTCATGGAAAGCGCAGCATAGGTAAAAGGAGAATGTCCTGGCTGAGAATTCTCAGAGATTGGTTTGGATGCAGCTCAATTGAATTCTTTCAGGCTGTAGTGTCAAAAGTTACAATAGCAGTGACGATTGGCGATGAATAGTCACAAAATCGATGAAGCTAAGACTCCATGGATGACAGATAGGATCCGGCAACTAATGGACAAAAGAAGAACATACAAAAACAAAAATGTAAACGAATACAAAGGCACACACAAGGAGATCAGGATAAAAATACGGGCAGCTAAAGAAAAGTGGTACAACGACCAATGCTTAGAGATAGAAGAACTCCACAGAAATCATGATAGTTTTGAACTGCACAAAAAAATTAAAGAATTAGCAGGTATAAGACGGTCCAACAATAGTAACACCCTGGTTGATACGAATGCTAAAATAATATCTGATGTAAAAGGCAAACTAAACAGATGGTACGTCCAAGAATTGTTTAAGGATGACAGGACACAACAAGATAGCATGAACGATTGCGAGGAACATGCTGTAGGTCCAAATATAACTAAGGATGAAATATTACATGCAATAAATCTGGCAAAATCTAATAAAACTGCGGGACCTGACACAATTCCAACTGAAATAATTAGATTAATATCATAAGATCAGATCAATGTATTAGTAGACTTATATAATACTATATATATAATACGGGTATTATTCCGAGAGATTGGCTCAAATCAACATTTATTACATTACCAAAAAAACCTAATACAAGGGAATGTAATGACCACCGTATAATTAGTCTAATGAGTCACACACTAAAAATATTCTTAAAAATTATCCATTTAAGAATTTTCAGAAAAGTGGAACAAAACATCACTGAAACTCAATTTGGATGTAGGAATGCCATGGGTACACGAGAGACATTATTTGGTTTTAACGTCCTCATGCAAAGATGTATGGATGTTAACCAACCACTCTACTATTGTTTTATTGATTACAATAAGGCGATCGATAAGGTTCGACACAACCGTCTTATACAGTTACTTAAAGATAAACACATTGACAAAAAAGACTTAAGAATAATAATTCATCTCTACTTTAACCAAACAGCAAAAGTCGGAGTCGGCAGAGAACTTTCGGAGGAAGTAGAGATAAAAAGAGGCGTAAGGCAAGGTTGCATACTCTCC